TCGGAAAACGGGGACTATTAATTTGGGTTCTGTCCGTCCGTGTGTCCGTCCGGAGCCATTTCTCTGGACACCCTTTGACCGATCTCGTTCAAACTTGGCATACAGACAATGTATGATGACTTACATATGCATGCCATTTTTTTTTATGATTCGATTAAATATGGCTGACAAGCAGCCATTTTGTCCTCAAATTTGCAAAATTCTGATATTTAAACCTGTCCGGAACTGTTTCTCGGAGCTGAACCACAGGCATTCAAGACGTTTCTTGGATAATAAAAAATGACCTAAAGTAGGGCATAGTTAGTCAGTCGCCGGTACATTCGCCTACCACTCGTATGATAACACAAGGTAGGAAAGCATTGACACCATGACATCAAAATTGTTCAATAATAACACGCAATTCAAGTATGATATTGGTTGAAACTATCTATCGACTTATATTACCTTTATTCAAACTAATTGTTAACTATTTCCATTTTTAGAAGAGAACGGTCCCTTGTGTTGTGATGGAGAATTTACCGTGCTACAACTATTGTACTGACAGCAAAGAGACTTGTGTTACCAATCCTCTGTATGATCTTTTCTGTATTAATTCACTCGAGAGATTGTCTATAAAAAGCCTCGGTGATGAATTCAGTAATAAGTTAAAAACTGCTTCGTCACCAACAGCTGTCGATAAGGTCATTGAGGAATACAGTGGTAAAACCATTTGTGTTGGTGGAAACACACTGTTTGTACACACGGGACTTCCAGATGCATTAGAAACAATAGCGTGGGACTTTGAAAAAGTGTACGTTGGCAAACCACTTCATATGCTGGGATATCTTCACATGATTGACTCTGAGTACTTTGTCTTGTTGGATGACAATGGCAATGTTTACCAAGCTGATGACGCTATTCTGCACTGGGTGAGCAAGGATGTAGTGAAGTATTTCAGGTCTGGTCCTGAAAATTTGGGTTTTTATGATTACTATGACTATTTAGACAGTAGTAGGAGTCTTCCATGTGTTGGGGGATCACACGATAATGAGGTAAACATTTCCAGTTTGTTATTAATCCACATAAAATTTTAAGGGGATTCCCATTTAAAAATTGGGTGGGTTGGAGGATTACGGGTAATGAGAAAAAATAATCCACATAGAACTGCATAATGATGAAGAATCGGAAGAAAATGTAAATTTTTTCCGACTGTATACTCTTTGCACAACAAAACCATTCGCTTCATCTTGATCAATATTTATAAATTTCACAGTTCAAACTGAAATGAGAGGTTTCCATTGGCCGGTTGAATAACACATACTGGAAAGTTTTCAAATGATATCACTGCTTAAGATTGGCTGGTTGGATTCAACTGCCATTGAAATTTATAAATATTGATGAAGATGAAGGAAATAATTTCTCAAGGTACCAGTTTTAAACATTTAATGCCATATTAATATATGCAAAATGTTTATTTATGTTGATTATTTTGATTCCAGTGTTATATTTTATTTCACCCAACCTTTGAATTCCATATGGTTGTATCTGACAATTGCATTGAATTAAAACAATATCAGAAGGGGGAAACTAATTCAAGGGAACTAGGTACCATGTACTAATTGACAGGTCTACACTATGAACTATACATGTACTAGTAAAATGAGTTTCCAAACTAAAATTTCGTGGTGAAAAATGTGTTCAAGTGTGTCCTCAAAGACAATATAATAACCCAACTATGCTTATTTCCTGTTATTGACATGATAGAAAAAGTTACCTTGATAAATATCTTGCTATAGTTGAGGATTTGGTAATTTGGATTGATTTTTAGGGATTTGATTCAAAATAAAATCCCTAAAAATCCTTCCTTTTAGAGAGCACACTGATGTATTCTTGTATATCAAATATATGTATTGTCTGAATTAATTAATTGCAATTTTTTGTTGCTTTTAATAGCTAAACTACTTGGAGGAAAACAAAAAAATATTTGAGAAAAAATCTGAACAACATGGCGAGATAAAAAGTAAGTTTACTAAAGCTCAATAAAAAAAAATCTTTTCATGGTTAAACAGGGAAGTGGCCACTAGAGGTCTCACTTCTTGTTTCTAAGCTGCTTGCTGGACATATTCTTAAAGGGCGACAGTCGTCGCTGCTCATGTACGACATTTGTGTTCATAAACATTGATTTTTCCAAAATTTAACGCGCTCTTCTAATAGAAATCACAAGTATGAAGTTTGATCTAGGTATGCGCGACTTGCACTAATTTCTGCCGGTGACTCCTTCGATACCTTCCAATCACCTAAAAATACTTAATTTAAGCTTTGTAACGTCTCAGTGTGTACAGTTGTACAATCAAAGTAGCCATCTTTGTTTATATGACCCCATAAACCTTGTGCATGCATGGCACGACGACTACCGTCTTTTATCATAATAACCATACATTTGACTCATCATGAACTCATCAAATTTTTGCCCACTGACAAAATAATATTTTTAGAGGTGGCTGAATTGTTTAAAATATTTGTTTAGTGGTTGAATCATTTTAGTGAATTTGTGTCTGATTGTAAAATTAGTGAATAGAGTTGATGATTTTGTAATTGTTTTTATTTCTTTCAATTGTTTGCAGGTTCCATGTCAGAGACTGAACTCAAGGAGTACACCGAGAAAAGCAACTACTATGCAAATCTTCTTATTCCACCGTGCAATTGAATATATGTTTCTGAATACATGTACCTGTGCAGACTTGATTATAGTCTAGCGTATCACTATCTGCTTGGAGTTGGAGCTTGGAGTACATAACAGTCCTAAGAATTGGTGTGTGTTAAGATCAGAACGTTGAAAATGCCAGGCACATTATGGAACACTGGGCATTTTTATTATGCATATAAACTGTCCTCAAAAAGAGAACATAAGAGTGAACAAACATGCAACATTGGATTGAAACTCGCAACTCGGCAAAAGTGCATGTCACAGCAGGTGTGTGTTTATGTTAACCTACCGGTATATGCACTGCCCAAAATAGCAACTTGAAATTGCATGTCCATATTGCATCTTTAATCTGAAAAACAAACTAAAAATTTATTTTTATAAAAATGTTAGCATATTGAGTATATGTTGCGTGTAACAGTGGTGGCGGAAGGGGGGGGTAAACATGTGAGATTGCTTGCAACACAAGGGATGGTGAGCAGATCTCGTGAGGGGCCCCCTCTAATGCAAAATTTTGTGCCGCCGCCTCTGTGTAATATGTTTCTATTTCAAATATGTACATTTCTTTTCCCTTGCAGTTCAAGCTTCCGAAGATGAAGATAATCAGAGCGATTGGTTAAAAATTAAAAACAAAAGACAAAAAAGTGATCATTTATTCTGTCGAATGTAAATACAGGAAATAGTAATCTGACATAAAATAATAAAATCATTTTACACAGAACAGAAATTGTGATGCACAAATTTCCAAAAACCGAATGCTTCCCCTACAATAATTTCATCGTCATTGTCAACATTTTTATTAATACAGTATTGATGGTACTCAAATAAGTCCTCTGACTAGGCATTATTGAATTCTGTATTAATTGATTCAAAATTGAGAATGGTATGAGGAGAATAAATAAATCACCATTTTGACTTTGATTTGGTAATGACTGCATAGTCCAATGGGATTTTAACATAAGGAGGGTTGTATTTTCCAGAACATCTCGTTGGAATTTACTGGTATAAAACAAAGGATGCTGATTAATTGTTTAAAATTGATAGGTGCTACTTTGAGAATGTCAATTTGTTTTTTGTAAATATTTTTAGTTTTTTTTTTAACTCTCTATCTTCTGTTTTTGGATTGGTTACCAACCATGGTTTTTGGGAGGTTCAAATCGATTTATAAAATAAAATTAAAACATCAATGTTTTGCTTCTGATTTATCATTGTGTACGCTGTTGTACCCCTCTCGTATATATGTATGTCGCCCTCACTGGCCAGTTATTGAAGTATAATGCTCTAATAATCATATGATTATACTTTGATATTTGATAAGCTATTTGCATGTCTAATGAGCAAGCATGTTTAAAAAAAGTTGATAGAACTCTTTGCTTTATGCAAGGTACAAATAAACATTTGATTAAAAATGAGTGTAATTGCCTGATGATTCAGTTGAATGTTGCCGGTTATAAGTATACTCTATATCTTGTACAATTACAATAGTAATGCTGCAGACTGAGACTTGTACAAAAACAAAGGGACCACCCATACCAAATGCAAGTTGTTTTACTTTTTTGAAATGATCCAATATGGCCAACCGGTAGCCATTTTGATTGTTAGTCATGGCTTTTGCCTGTCCATTGGTATTTCTCGGAGATGCCTTGACTGATTTCAATGATACTAGGTACAAAGACACGGTGAGGAGGTATACATATTCACATGGATTTTCCTGATTTGATAAAATATGGCTGCCTGGCGGCCATTTTGAATGTCAAAATCCTGTAAAATCCAGTTTTTTGGGTGTGTCCATCATCATTTCTCTGAGATGTCTGGACCGATTTTGCTGAGACTTGGTACAAAGACAGAGTGACCACTGGTACAGATGCACATTGATTTATGTTTTCATGGAAACAATGAGCTCATTTGCCTATTTAATTATTAATTTGAATTCTTGTTAATATCAGACCAAACTTGGTAGAGACTTGATTTGTCAATATAAGATATATGCTGTGCAATATTGAGTTTCAATTCAATAAACGAGCTCATTTGCATATTTAAGGAATTTCGAATTTTTGTTGATATCTTGTGATTAGTCCAAATGAGACCAAAGCTGGTATAGACTGACTTGATTTGTCAATATACGATATGTGCTATTCAATATTGAGTTTCAACTTAATTAACAAGCTCATTTGCATATTTAATTAATTTTGAATTTTTCTTAATATCTAATTGTCCAAAAGAGACCAAACTTGGTGTAGACTTACTTGATCTGTCAATATAAGATGTGTGCTATGCAATATTGAGTTTCAATTTGGTTGATTATTATGGTAATTAGGTAATTAATATGCACGGAATTTCAGCCCAAAACTAATCACGTCTGCGCATTGTTCTAGAGTATGTACCAAATTTTATTGAAATCTGTTCAATAGTACATGAGAAAAAGGGGAAAATGTTTTGGTTAATTAATATGCAGATTATGTAATTAATATGCACAGATTTCAACCAAAAACTAACCAGGTCTGAGCATTATCCAAGAGCATCTATGTACCAAGTTTTGTTGAAATATGGTAATTGGTTCTTGCCATATCAGGGGAACGAACGACACACACACGCACGCTCACACACACATGCACACACTATTAAACCATAAACACAATTATAGAGCTTTTATATTATAATTTAAAACACACTTCACAGACATCCAACTTCTGAATAATTATAATACATAATTATGCAAGTTATGATTGCAACTTTATTTATGATTTTGTAAAAAAAACATAAAACAATTAAAATATTGTCACCATACTTTGTTATTTAGTTACAACCATTCTCAAATTGTTCCCGAAAAAAGAAAAATCAGTTACCGGTATTTTTCCAAGATGTCAAAATGTGAGTGGTTATATCTTTATGGTAATATTTGAACTCTATGCAGTCGTAGTTCATCAATAAACACCATCTCATTACTATGCATGTATCAAAGCTCCAGTTGGTAATAGTCTGATAAGTTGCTGTAGGTGGGGTTTGCAGCAGTCCAGGGCGCCACCTACGTCAACTTATCAGGCTACAGTTGGTAAATTATACAACTTTGATGATGAGTGTGACAGTATATTTGATCAATCCTAAAACTTAATTATGACAATGCATATTCATATTTAAAAAAATTGATCAATGAAAAAATAATATGCAACAAAGGGCAAGGTCACCAGAGGTTAACTTTGATTTTTAGTTTTGCCTGAAGGCCCGCAATGCACGGAAAAACAAAAGGAAAAACTAAGAGAATATAAACTGTAGAGGGGGTAGTACTTGTACAAAGATTTTTTTGTTTGACAGACATATTGGTAGCCTGACGAGGGTGCTACTCACGCCTACATGTCAGCTAACATATTGGACACTGTCGCGAGTAAGCACCTATGCTATTTGGATGCACAGTCGATAACAACAAATACATTGGCGGCGAATTCGCCAATTTCTTATTTTATTAAATAGTTGTTTTGTGAAATATAATTAAAATAAATTAAAATTCTGTAGATGAAAGTTAGAAAAGTTATGTTGTGAAAAATTCCAATTCTGGTGCATGATTTCAAGAGAAATAGTTTTGTTTCAGAAGTTAAAATTTGGTGGTGTTTACATTTGGGTGATGATTTTGAAATATGAAGTTTTGAGATGTTTAACTTTGGTTTTATAGAATAAGTGTAAAAAATGAAGTGACACCTGTGGGCCACTGTATAAACTTGAAAAAGAAAGGAAACGCCGGGAATACAATCAGACTGGGGCAAATCATATCACCAAAAACAAAGGGATTCTGGAGCGCAGCAACAAAGCATGTTATAGAATTCAAAATAAGCATTTGTTTTATAATAAGAAATTGCACCCACTGCATTTAATTCAAAATTAACAATGAAATAGAGAAAAACAATATTAAATTTAATTTAAACTATTTGACAATTTGTGAAAAGTTAACTTTTACAGAAAGATCACCAAATTTGCTGTTTTTAATGTAACTCCAACATATAATTCATGTGTACCGTGCTGAGAACACCACCAGTCACATT